GTTAATAATTATTAGAATCGCTTGTATAATTTTACATATGTGCGCAAAGATCTTACCTACAAAGGAAATAACGTTACCTTTTTGAGTAAGATATTCTTTCCATATTTAAATTTTCACGTTATTGTAAAATAATCGGCAAAAGCACGAAGCTCGCCAATCTTTGGTCTTTAGTTGGATCGCCATCCCAACATTTTTTGCATATTCAAAATCAATCCAGGTCTATGAACTCTATTATTAAGTGATGGGCAGCCTGAAAATATTTCCTGCATCAGCACTCAAATACTATATTAACATACTATTATCGTCATCATTAGCTTTGTTCTTACTACTGCTGCTGCTACTATTATTGTTGTTGTTATTACTACTACTGCTATCATCATCATCATTATTATTTTCATATTGATTATTTTTAGCTTGTAAATTTATCCTAGAAAATTTTATTCTCTTGGATGTTTGACAATTATAAATTAGATTTTGCTGCCTTGGATTCAATTGATCTAAGATATAATAATTTAATATATAATAAATTGAAGCATAAATATAAATAAATAAATGAATAAATCACATATATTGATAGATCATTTACCAGGCTCTTGAGAAAAAACTAAATCTGTGCCAATCATTTCATCAAATTCGCCTTTGAAATACAAACTACCAATACGTAAATATGGTGCATCTGTTTCTAATCCCTAATTATTTTAATTATCAGTGCCAATCAATAATGATATTATTTATTATTGCTTTTCTCCCCCCCCCCCCAAAAAAAAAATAATAACAATTTTTAAAGCTTACAATTAAAGAATAAGTAATACCATTTTGATTAGCATTTGTATTTTCAGGAAGATCTTGTTGTTGTACGTCACTACCATCATCATTACTGACATTAACATCAGCAACAACTTTATTACTACTAGTGGCCTGTTGTTGTTCATCTGAATCATTGATGTTGATGTTATTCATTCTATTTTTCGACATAATCATATCAAGTGTAACTTCGGTTCCTAAATCTAAAATTATGTAGGAAACCTTCAAGTTGTAAAGAAAGAGATTAATTGATAGGTATAGAGATATATAGATAATAATTTCTTCAAAATTCATTTCTTTCTTTTCCCGATTTATTTTACCTCTTCCTCATAATTGTCATCGTCATCAACATTATTGTCATAATCGTCTACTTCCATTTGACTTTCTATGGGATCCATAATAAATATTTCTTGTCACGTGGAATATACAAGATCATCAAAAACAGCAGTGCTTCAATTAAATATATCTAATACTACTAATATTTTTTCAATTTTATTAATTATAATAAAAATTTTTTGATTTTTGATTTGATTTTTATAAAAATAACAAATAATAATACGTAATAATTATTTCTATTATTTTATATGCTTATGTATATAAATATATATAACAACAGATGTAAAACAATAAATTCTAAATTGTTATTTTTTTAAACATTATATATAATAATCAATTATTTACAAACACAAAAAGAAAAGAATTTTTCATATCAATTAGTCATATGTAGATTTTGTGTGTGGGTTCTATAATGAAGTGAAATGTATGAATAAATTCTATCAAGACGGTGGTGATGATGATAATTACGATGAGATGGATATATATATTACTAATACACTACAACTATAATGACCAAGAGATCCGGTATACTACTTGCTACTGCTGCCAATATTAATGCATTTCATTCCAAACAAATAAAATTACAACAAATAACATTACTGTAATAAAATAAAATAAATTAATAAACATTAATTAGCCAATTGGTAATATAAAATATTGATTTTACCTAAATACATTTGCCACTGTTTTC